CAAGCTTCACTCGGGCTGCCAACTGTTCCTTGTGCTAAAATTTCAGCAACCTATTCGAGGCCATGTACCCACTATTCACAACAAGAACTTTCAATCACTTCTTTGTAACAGTGTTCTGAATAAATACACAGGTCCAAACGTTCTTCCTGACAACATTTTGTGTCTGGGGGTTGCACACATTTTGACTGTATTTTTATACGATTTTTTTACTATATGTAAAAATGTTTGGAAGAATTAAGGCAAGAAATTGGGTAGTTTTCCCAAATGTCACTACACATTTGTTTTGTAATGTGAAGCACTATAACAAGGAATTTGCTCCCTCAAGAGGACTGCTGAGTCTATAAGCAGTGCCCCAGACGCATAGGCTTTGGAGGCTGATCAGCGTAGAAATGGAGGAGAGGGAAGGTGACCAGACAGTGGCACCATGCAGAGGATGTATGAAGGAGGAGAACGTGGAAATCATGCAGTTCCGTACCGTTTTCCTGTTAAGTGTGGAAAGCAAAAACTTTTTCAGGATCTTAGCTAACTGACTCAAAAAGTATCTCCTAAGGAATTCTTACATCTGCCATGCAAAAGGCTGGGATTCCAGGCATGCTGTGCTGCTTAGAACACACTGTCAGACTGCTAGCGGGGCTTAGCTTTGATGTTATGAGTTGGTGTTCCACATGCAAAAGAGGTGAGGCTGGGTTAGCAAAGAGGAGCAGGAACTGGTGGCTGAGTGGGCCACGGGACAAAGCGAGGTTGGAGAGAGCTAGCCAGTGAGTAGCATTGGCTGGCTGTGGAGTGATGACTGACTGGAATGGGCAGGAGAAGAGAATTGGAGATGGTTGGGGTCTCAAGGAGTTTATTTGGAAACGGACTCTTTTGATAACTGGACAGGAGCTCTTAGCATGACAGTTCGATGACTGAGCATTTGAATGGTGGGTGAGAGAGTATTTTAACATCACCCATTAGCAGGAGGTCCACCCATTAGCAGAAAGGGTGCTCATCTGGCACAGCTGTTGGGGTTGAGAGTGATCCTGACAAAAAGTTAATTGAGAAGAGTTGCGGTCAGTGCTTGTGGACTGATTACATACAAGGTGGAGAACCTCTTTTTAACCCTCTCAGGCTCAAAATAAGTTTTGATAAAAGGATGAGCAACTAAGTACTTTAGGGGTACTTCTGAGTTTAAAATGCTCATGAAATACATATGTGGAGTAACCAGGAAGGTAGGTTTTAACGTTGCAAATCTGCAACGCCTGCCTCTAGAGAGCGAAGTGTGAGGATATCCTTGAAGCCAACTCTAGAGCCATATTCCTGAAGAAAGGAAAGGTGGATGACAGATTCCACTTCCAAGTGGATGGAGCTGTTATCCTACCCCTGACTGGGAAACCAGTGAAAAGTCTGGGGAAGATCTTTGATGGCATACTAAGACATACAGCAACAGTCCAGTCCACACTTTGAAGGGCTGGTTGTTAACAGTGGATAAGTCAACACTCCCAGGAAAGTTCATGGCACTGATCTACCAGTATGGGACTCTGCCTAGATGTCCCTGGCCACTACTAGATTTTGAAGTTCCAATATCTATTGTGGAGGGCTTTGAGTAAAACATCAGTCAGTTCCTTCATAGATGGCTTGGTGTTTCAACCAGCGCTGCCTCCTATGGGCATACCAACAAGCTCCAGCTCCTCTTTGCACGTCTGACAGATGAGTTGAAATTTTCTAGATCCAGAGAGGTGCTGCTTTCCAGAGAGTCTGCAGATTCCCAAGTCTCCTCTGTGGGGATCATGGTGGAGACTGGGCAAGAGTGGTGGGCGCAGAAGGTCAAGCCCCAACTCCAAGTCAAGCATAACACCACTTTTGTTTGGGCAGGAGAGAAACCTCCAAAGCAAAAAAGAACCACAATAGGCTTCCTGGCTTAAGCTCAAGGTGGGCAACTTCTGGTGGACTTGGAGAGACAGTTGAAGTTTCCAGAGTTTAAAAACATTAAAAACCCAACAAGCATCAACAAATTTTTTGTTGATTTTTTCATGGTAGCTTAGCTCAAGCCATTACTTTGCTTGGTACCAAGTCTGTTATTGGGACTTGAAGTTGCCTCTCAACATTGTAGGTTGGAGGACAAATGAGGAGTCAAGTGGGTCAAATGTTGCAACTCTGAGATTTGGACATCCAAATGTAATGAAACGTGTTTCCTGAATGAACCGACCTATCATAACTGTTTCTGTTAAGTTTCTTGTGTAACGAAACACAATTTAGACAAGTCTTCTCAGTTTTAGAGGTTTAGTTTCACAATAATAATACCAAAGTAAATTTTCAAATCAATTGGTAGAGCTGTAAAAAAAAAGTCTAATATATGATCAAGCACAAACAAGCAGAGTACAGGGCCAAATGGGACAATCTTCTTGTAGGTCTTGTCTCCTGCTGTCCGCTTAATAATGAAAAGACTGAGTGCCTTTTGTTTTCTACTGGTTATCTGTCAAGCATCTGCCTGTCAAACTTTGGTCCCCTTGCCACTAACCTGAGACAGCTGATGAAGAACTTAGGTATAATCTTTGACAGTGGAATGAAGTTTGACAACCAGATCAATTAATTTGTCAAAACCAGCTTCTTCTAGCTATGGCTATTTGCTTGGGTCAAACCATTCCTCAACTGTCGTGACCTTGAAAAAGCCATCCATGATTTTATCTGTTTGAGGCTGGACTACTGTAATGTTCTGTATATTGGATTACCGTAGCGCGATTACAGTACACTGTAAACCCAAAGGTTCAAAATAATCAAATACATTGAGTAGATAAAACTCATAATAAAAAAATAGTTTATAGAACTCAAATGTGTTGAGCTTGTTCAACCTTTTCCTTGTTTTAAGTAATTGAACTAAAATGTTTTAATTAATATGAACTATTTCTTTTTTTAAGTAAGAAGAACTTTAATTAATCAATGAAGGACAACTTAACTTTAATGAGTAATATTGACAAAAAATGATTGATTTATTATTTTATGTTTCTATGTTATTCCATTCGTCTTTACGTCAACCCTAAAATGTGTCTGATAAAAAGACTTGTATCTTTTTTTTTTAATTGTGTATTTCCAGGAAAAACAACCACAAACTAGCAATTTTGATGGATTGCAGGAACAATAAACAACTGCTGGGCGTGGTGCATTGTGGGTAGTCAAATTTTCAGTTATTTTGCTCTATTTTGGGGTGTTTATGCATGTTCATTGTGGAGGATTGTTGTTCTCAGTTATTATTTCATTCAGTGTTGCAGATGTGGTGTTACTTTTTGTATCATGTTTGCCCCATAAGTGAGGAGGTTGGTCAAAGTAATGCTGTATGGCTGTGCCGTCCCATTGTTATTAATATTGTGGTTGTTCACACCAGGTACTCTTGACTTGACTTTGAGTGTCCCACTTTCATTGGCTGTTAGCATCTAGGGGTGTGTGAGTCATGATCTGGTGTTAGTTACTGCCTTCACCAGCCTGTCACATTGTCACTTTTAAGTAAATTCAGCTTATTTGGGTTAGGGTTTAATAGGTCCATTTAGAGTTCATATAAGATGTATTATTTAAGTTAGTAAAAACGTAATAAAGTTCAAATAAAATAAAATATGCAAGTTTAGTGAAATAAAACTTTTTAAGTTGCTTAAGTGCTAAGTTATAGGTTGGAGGTAGTTAAATGCTTTGATTTTATTCAGGTCATATTTTTTAGGTTATGGTAAACATAGTTTTTGATAAGTTAACTTAAAAATTATTAGGTAATCAGTTTCCTCATAAATTTTGAGTTCAGTGAACTTATTCGGGATTGCAGTGTATGTGCAAAATGCTGCAGCTCATCTAGTACAAGTACTCCTAGAAGAATGCATATTACACCTGTTCTGTCATCACCCCACTGGCTTCCCATGATTTTTAGAAAACAGTTCAAAATCTTGATGTTCACGTTTCAAGGTATTCATGGTACTGCTCCCTCCTACATCTCAGACATCTTATCATTCCACACGCAAAATAGAGTAACTAGGTCAACTTTTCCTTGATTCCCCTAGGTAAAGATACAGACAGTGGGGTGATTGCTCTGTTCCTGTGGCAGCCCCAAAACCTTGGAACAAGTTGCCCCCTGACCTTGTACCACCACAGACCAGTCACTTTTTAAAATTAGACTTAAAACATACCTTTACCATCAAGATTTTAATTCCGAAGGGTCCCCATACTTCTTACTTTGGTCTCATAGAGCTCTTTTTCTGTTTTATGTTTTTATTCAGCTTCAATTAGTTTATTTTATATTCATTTGTATTGATATTTTGGTGACTTGACTGTGTCTTACTGTGAAGCACTTTGGTCATCTCTTTTGGCTGTGTAAAGCACTCTATAAATGCATTTTTATTGATAGATAGACAGATAGACAGATAGATAGATAGATAGATAGATAGATAGATAGATAGATAGATAGATAGATAGATAGATAGATAGATAGATAGATAGATAGATAGATAGATAGATAGATAGATAGATAGATAGATAGAAAGAAAGAAAGAAAGAAAGAAAGAAAGAAAGAAAGAAAGAAAGAAAGAAAGAAAGAAAGAAAGAAAGTAAGAAAGAATCTCTTCAATCATTTTTGACCACATGACAAGTCACCTCACACGTCAGGCTCCAATTCTTGAAATCTCAGGACAGCTTCATTTTTGACAGCATGTAGACTGCTATCAAAGCAGACTCTGAATAAAAGTCTCTGAGCAAACTGAGAATAAAGAGGTGCTTTTTGGGTCACCATCCTCAAACATGTCTGCATAGTCTGTTCAAGTGACACAATAATCACAAAAAAGCCTTGAAACCCTCCATCAGCCTTCCTCGTGGGAGACCTATCAAAGTTAGCAAGGAGAATAATATATTTTTAAGACAATGTGCATGCATCAAGCGTCTGATTGGGAAGTCTGAAAATGTGTAAAATGCCTCCAGAATGACATGATTGTCAGTCTGATAAACCAGAATTTCAGTTTGCATAGAAGTGATTCAAAGTCAGTCATGGTGATATTCTCCAGTGCTTCTTTATTTACAAAATGAGAAAATACATTACAGCTCCCTTTGATGTTTCCTCAAAGTAAGGACAAACTGGTCACACTGAGCACTCAGGCAGTTGCGGACAGATTAATTCACAAAATAAAAAATTGTGTGTTTTTTTATGACACAGCAGTACAACTGGATAAAATGTACAGTATTTTCAAAGAATTGAGGTAGAAAAAGCACAGGCTGTCCAACTGATGGCATTTCACAAGGGTTTGTAGAGGTCACTGAAGAGTTCAGGTAAAGTGTGTTCAAGAGGGAAGTGACCGCATCCTGATTCAAAAGAAAAACAGAAATGTTGTTGACAACCAGCAGGACAAAAACTAAAGTTTGTGAACATAATTCATTTGGTGAAAAGGTCAGAATCTTCCTGGGGAATGAAGCCAGTCTTGTAATTGTTTTAAAATCTAAATTATTGTAATTTTCTGACATTTCACTCGTTTGAAGTGTGCAGTAGTGTTTGGAAAAACTACAGAAACACTTTTGTTAAACTGCTACTCACTATTCTGATTCTCATTTATTATATGTGAATACTGACATGTAAGACAGACGTTTCATGCAGACACTCCAAAAACTCATTTCACTTCCTTTTATACCTTTAAACACTCTCGCCGTGGTGCATTCTGCTCTCCTCTCATTGGTCTCAGAAAGCTTTAGATTCATAGTTATAATTTCTGAAACATTCAATGGGCTCAAACAAAAAGCAACTACATAAAAACAGGAGATATAAATAAAAGTCCTGGTCATTTTGGCACTATCTACTTCATAGTGTACACACCATTGTGTCAACTGAATGTGGGGCGTGATCATGTCCAAATGGAGAAAATCCGAAGACACTGCCACAAACAAACGGCTTTCCTTATAAAACATTGATTTTGTTTATATACATGAATCAGTTTGATTGATGTGTTCTGCATGACAGCCCTGCAGTAACTGTTTGTGATAACATGTCATTTCCTTTGTTGCTGGAATACCACTCCTTAAATGAGGAGGCAGAATGTAATTGTGGCATAAGCACAAAAGCAGTGTCGCTCTGAGTGGCCTAACAAATAAGCTTGATGATTTTATTTCCTAAAATAGAATGTCTGAGTCACACACAAACTGATGTAATTGTGCCATCTCGATATCTTTGCAGAAGGGCTTCAAGGCCTCAAACAGCAACTCTTGGTTTGTCGAGCTGTGTTTTATCTACAGGTCTGTGTTACTGTAGAACATCAGGACCACCACAGACGTCGGTATGAGCTGCTCAAACCCTCAGGTTCACACCTTCAGAGCCTCGTGCACCCCCACAGCGGATAGCCGGCGGTTGATATTGCGATAACGGCAGCGAAGAAGGTCGCGATAGGTAGAACGCAGGTCTCGATTGAAAAAGGCGTAGATGAAAGGGTTCATCAGAGAGTTGGCGTACCCCAACCAGAGCAGTGTGCGCTCCAGCCAAATGGGCACACAGCTACACTCAACTCCACAAATAAAGGGCCTGGCTGTGGACAAGATGAAGAATGGCAGCCAGCAAACAGCAAAAACCCCCACAATCACCCCAAGGGTCGTGGCTGCTTTCTGCTCCCGCTTGAAGATGGAGATGTTTCTTCGCTCGCGGCTCAGCAGACGGGACAAGGCAGCGCATTCCTCAGCCACACCAGGTGGCTTCAGGCCCTGCATGCGCACTGCCTCATTAGCCACCGTGTCAAGACGCTCACGCCGCGACAAGTCGGTGAAGCGGTGCTTGGCTCCGCTCTTGCGAGCTGCCCTGAATATCTTGTAGTACATGACCAGCATTACCAGCATAGGGATGTAAAAGGCTACAGCTGTAGAATAAATGGTGTAACCAAAGTCTTGGCTGATGAGACACACACCAGCCGTGTGAACGTTCTTGGCCCAGCCACAGAAAGGTGGCAGGGTGATGGATGCTGACACCAGCCATACTCCCAGGATCATCTTGGCCATCAGCTGACCATTCTGCCGTGCCGGGTAGGTGAGAGGTCGCGTGATCCCCAGATACCTGCATGGAAAAGAGGTCAAAGAAGAAATTACTAAAAGAAGTAGATGGTTTTATCTAAAACATTAACACTGTCCGTTGTTTCACACCAAAAATAAGTGCATTATCCTGTCGTTTTCTGTGAACCCAGACACTTATCGTACAGTATAGAGCCATCAAATGCAGTCCACTCGTTTCCAGGACAGACGTTTTTATAAGATGTCACTGTCTGGGGGGTTGTTGCTGCTTTCTCTGGCTCTTGGAGCTTAGCGGGTGAAGATGGAGCTGCCAATCAAATAGGCAGCTAAGTGGACTCAAATAGCAACCAAAGGTGTGAGAGAAATAAAAATACGTTTGAAAAGCTTGGATTTGTCCAGGACTCGGAAAATAACCACTATTCTCACCATGTGATAAATGAGTATTTTAGGTGAGCACCCACATGCAGCTGAAGCATCAAATGTTTCATTGATGAAAGTTGTAAATCTCAGGTTTTGAGCTCTTTTTTCTGGTTCCCTCTCAATAGTAATCAAAAGATCAAAAAGCTTTAGGAGCAGTGGCTAATTTTTCTGTTCTTTCACGAGTGATACTATCACCACTGTGAAAATCCAACTCAGCTCTGCTGGATTACTTCACGTTAATTATAGTATCTCCTCATTGTAGCATTGTGTTTGTCACAGACCTCCTGATTCAAATAAAGACACTTTAGCTAAACATCTTGGTCATCAACCAACATGCATGATAAGCTTTTCATTTCAGACTTTAGGAGCAGTCATGGAGCCTGTAGGTGTTTAAAAATTGGGATGATGTTGGATTTTTAACTGTAACATGTGAAAGCACATGTAAAACTGGATTTAGACATGAACTGTTATCTTCTGAAAAAAGACAGTTTATCTTGTTTGACAAATATCTACAAATATCTACAATATCCAATATCTACAAATATCTACAATATCCAATATCTACAAATATCTACAATATCCACTGAAAAAGTTTTCTTTTTCAGTGCTCTGAGATTAAGGCCTAGTCCACACGTAGCCGGGTTTTTTTAAAAACGAATATCCGCCCCTCCAAAAACTTGCATCCACACCACCTCGTTTAAAAAAAAACTCTGTCCACACGTACCCGGATAAATACGTTGTTAAGGACATGACAGACCTGTAGGCGGCAGTACTTCCCCCGTTCTTAACCTTGTCCATCTGTGGTCTTCCGCAAGGAGCAGTAATTCCGCTTGCAAAAACAAACAAGCAAAAAGCGCTTGGACAATTGATAAAGCGAGCGCAGTCGGCTAGTGTAAACACAGGTCGCATACATGATGTCAGCATTTTTTTGTCACGGAAAGTGACGTTGCAGACCTTAAAACGGATCTTTTTAAAAACTCCGGCCAAAGTGAAGATCTACGTTTTCTCTGTTTTGGGTGTGTGCGTGTGGACAGACAAAACTGGAGTTTTAAGGTCCGCAACGTCACTTTCCGAGACAACAAAATGCTGACATCACGTGTGCGACCTGTGTTTACACTAGTCGACTGCGCTCGCTTTATCAATTGTCCAAGCGCTTTTTGCTTGTTTGTTTTTGCAAGCAGAATTACTGCTCCTTGCGGAAGACCACAGACGAAGGACGAGGTTAAGAACGGGGGAAGTATTGCCGCCTACAGGTCTGGCATGTCCTTAACAACGTATTTATCCGGGTACGTGTGGACAGAGTTTTTTTTTTTAAACGAGGTGGTGTGGATGCAAGTTTTTGGAGGGGCGGATATTCGTTTTTAAAAAAACCCGGCTACGTGCGGACTAGGCCTAAAATCAGGATTCTGAGTTTTATTTTGAAATTATAGTCAGAACTTTTTCGTCTTGCATAAGTTTCTAGTAAGAGATTTGTTGTCATTAAAAAAAACAAAAACACCATTTCAGTTTTATTGTTGAGCTTTAAAATTAAAAAAAGCTTTTGCAATAAGTGTATGGATATTTTTCTATGAATGTTATTTGAGGGAAATTATGCAGAGAAACAAACAAAAGCAAATGGGTCTACAGAGACTTTTAGGGTTATGGAAATCTAATTCAATTATTCCATGAAAAATCTCAAAAGCAGCTTAAACCTGCACTTTTGATTATATTTATGTTTAAAAACATGAGTTCATCAAGGACATTTTGAGCACCTGAACAATATGACTATTATGCCTACTTTGGCATGTGCAGATCAATTTCAACACTTTCAAGGTATGTCATTTTTAAAAGTTTTAATTGCTTTAAAACAGATGCATAAATGTGACTGTGACCCTGTTCTTTGATATAAAGTGGGTAATATTTCATAGTTTATATTTCTTCTAAGCCCCTCCCCTGACCTCCACGGCAAAACAAAGTGTTAATCAATAGAGTTGCATATTCATAAGACAGAGCTGTCAATTAGCAAGAATGTGCACCAGTTCCCAGCATGCACTGCAGGGTCATACACTGACAGTCAGCTTAGCACATCAAACTAGCAGGGGCGGGAGCTGTAGCCATTTAAGTTTCAAATTCTCATCCTTTCCTTGATGATGTATGGACCACAGCTTTAAAATGACCAAACGTTAACTTTCTTCTTGCTTTATTGTAAAAAATCTGGATTCTAAATATTGGCAGATGCTCAAAGGCAAGGTAGTCCAACATAAAAAAGTAGAAGAATCTTCAAGAGGAGAGGGTTAGACACAGCACACAAACAGAGAGGAGCGGGGTAAGTAAACAGAGCTGTAGAACAGCCTCATCAGAGGCAGCAAGGCTGCAGATGTTTGGGTGATGTATGTTTTTTTAAAGATTTTTCACACTCTGACTTCAGATGACCGTCATCAGACTCAGTGTGAACAGGTTACAGTGCTGTATTTGTGGGTATTTGTTTTTTTGTTCTACTTTAACATTATTTTGTCATAAAATGTGTCCATGTTGCATAACTGAATCCAATCAAAGTGGGGGAGTGAACCCATAAGTCTGCAGCTCAGATGTCTGCCACACCATCTTACATGCTGCAGCTCATTAGCAGCTGGCAGCTCACACTGAAAGTGGCATTTACCTTGATAAGAATTATTTGAAGTGGGCATTACGGGAGTGTTGCAGCTGAAAATACTCATGTATGGCACCTAAAATCAAATCCCAGAGCCCAGTCACACTCACAGACACACCACATTCTTTTCTTCCTCTGTTCTTTTTTTAAGCTGCACAGTGTCTTTTTCACTCTTTCACTTCCTGTCTGAACAACACGTACAGTCTACAGCCGAGGTGTGTAACCTGCTTATATTTTTATGCAACTCATTGCACAATTTGTCAGCGTTGTCATGACAACAAGGGAAACATCCGATGTCTATCTCAGACAGGATGACTCCTTAGGAGAGAAAGTGACGTCTCAGAGGCAGAAGAAAACCCGTCTGCCCTACTTCAATCAGAAATAAATAACTCACAGCTTGCTCGGTGCTTTGCTTTGGTTCAGTGGATGTTAGTAGCTTCACGATACAAGAGAAAACTCCTGCCATTGGTCCACATGGTTCCTTTTAATCTCAGGAACCACATGCTGCTGTGTTCATCATGCAGATCCTTGGTTCAGATGCCGGATAGACCCCGTGAAACAGATACAAGTCTGATATGGAAACGAGTACACTCCAACCAGTGGGAATTCTGAGAAAATACATAATGGATCACCAGCAATGCAAACCCTCTTTCTAACTGCATTATTCACTCTTACAAAAGCTGTTTGTGAGAATAATTGTGTGTCTGACTGGAGCTGTGAGGACAGTTCTGTACAACTATGACTCATCCTCAACCCTTTAGAAGGCAAGACCATTTCAAGATATGTCTATCTATAAAAAAAGATGTAATAACGTGCACTTTGTGTGGTCCCTTAGCATCACCCTGGCATCTCATTAGCATGTGATTAGATAAAAGGGCAGTTGGTTAGACCAGCATTGCAATTTGTTTTGGATTTCTTTTCTATCCATCACATAAGTGCATCATTTATTCTTTTAGCCATAGAAAGCTTTTGGTTAGTCCAGTGTTCTCAGTGTTTATTGCCTTTATTTTGTGCAGCAGGCACATTTAGACAAACAATTATATTAACAACATTTATGCTAGTTTCAAACTAGGATCATCTTATGCTGAGAAACGATGTCGTTAGAGCCATGCAGTTATAATGACACAATATCCCATATGATCTGTTAGTAGTAGCAGTGTTGTGATTCTCAGCTACAACCCTGTTGCATAACAGACTATTACTGGGAAAGATGACATTCTTGGGTTTTGTGGCGGCCATCTTGAAGTGAGTTGACTCCAACAGTAAAGATGAACATCCAGTAAAGACTTTCTGAGAGTTTTATTAAATGTATTGGGATTGACTCTTACCCACTACGGCGCTGAATCCGTAAAACTGACCGAGTTAAAGCCAGTTCTGTTCTTTATTTTGCCGTGACGGCCATATTGGATGGGTCACCTTTAAAGGTTTGTCATGTTTGAGTAGGTGGGATGATTATGATTCATCTAGCAGCTCATTATATTTTTCCTGAGCTACAGACATGCAGAAACACACACACTGAAGCACACACAGATAGTTAGAGTCACTGAATTAACTGTCATCAAATATAAAAATAAACACTGCATCATTAGTTATCGTATGTCTTAGAATTTCCTTTTCGTTGTGCCATGTCATTAGTGTCAAATTAAAACATCTGTGAAATTACAGCACATTATTCAGATAGCATTTTATAAGCAGGACTGCTCATCCAAAATCACAAGCACATAATCAAGCCGAAGACCGGTGGCACCCCCCATTTAAGTGTGGGTGAGGCAGAGAGCAGCACATGGGAAGTTGAGAGGTTTTTTTAGATCTCAAGAGGATTTGGGTCCCACGAGGTTTTCCCAGCCACTGATAAAAAGCGTGCCCAAACTAATGGAGATTTCCATTACTTCCGCTGGGCTCCCAACTAGAACACAGTGAACTATTTTCTGCACTGAGAGACCATGAGAAACTAGTTGTCGTTCAGCTCCAGCAGCCTCTCACAAACCTTTTATCTG